GGATGGTCTCGATCTCTTGACCTCGTGATCCACCCGCCTCGGCCTCCCAAAGTGCTGGGATTACAGGCTTGAGCCACCGCGCCCGGCCCCAGTTTATTCTTTTGTTCATTTGTTTGTGTTGTTTTTGAGATGGAGTCTCACTCTGTCGCCCATGCTGGAGTGCAGTGCGGCAATCTTGGTTCACTGCAACCTCTGCCTCCTGGGTTCAAGTGATTCTCCTGCCTCAGCCTCCCAAGTAGCTGGGATTACAGGCATGCACCACCACGCCTGGCTAATTTTCATATTTTTAGTAGAGACAAGGTTTCGCCATGTTGGCCAGGCTGGTCTCGAATTTCTAACCTCAGGTGATCTTAGCCTCCGAAAATGCTGAGATTACAGGCATGAGCCACCGCACCTGGCCCCATTTATTTATTCTCTTTTCATATGAATTAAGGTGAAAAAATAAGACACTAGATTCTACTACAAGGACTTTCTTATTAATGACATTTACTTACGGCCATATAAAATTTAGATTGATAGCCTCGGTGATCACTTTTTCATTATTTTAAACATACAAAATGTCATAGATTTAAAAATAAAATTAAAAATTACGTCTTTTGAACAAATCTGGGTAAAAAGAACTGCTTCCTAAGACTGAAATGGTTTACTGGCAATGAGTAGAATAAATTCAAGTTAGTTAACTCTAGTCTCACATACTTTTTGTGTGAAGAACTTTTGTATTTATAAATAGACAAATGTAATACATATACTTTCCTTATAGTTTCTTAAACTTAAGTTTCAGTAGTGATCTTTGGTTATAATAATTGAATCTTACTTTTTAATGTTAAGAAATAAATTAGAAAGTTAATGTATAACCACCCAGAATTGCAGAAGAAAAAGAAGTTTCAGAAAAAAAGAATTTTCAAGCAAAACTTGTATTACCAGTAGAGAGGAAGGAAGAAGCAGCTGAAAAGAGATGATGTGTTGCCAGGGAATAAATAAGTATATGCAGGGAAATTTAACATATAAGATTCCTGGAGAGGAAGAGAGGAATATGGTTAATGGAAGACAGAAACAAAATAAACACAGATGTTTAAATTAAAAAAAAGGTGGCTGCTGCTTAATTTTCCATAATGAATTGGAATAGATGGAAAAGCAAGCATAAATATGGGATTCACAAATAAGGAATAGTGAAAAATTTTAAACAGATATTGTATATAAAAATATACATGGCAAAACCAAAGCCTCCTCATCAACAAAATATCAGTAAGAACCATTCCATTAAAAAAAAAAAAATGACTGAGTCTTAAAAGTCAATTACTTAAAAGTCAATTACTTAAAAGTCAATAAACCTTCTTGAGTACATGTCAATGAATCTTCTTGAGTACATATAACAAATATAATACAATCTTCAAAAAGTTAAACATAGAATTACCCAACAATTCCACTCCTAGGCGTATACCAAAAGGAACTGAGAGCAAGTATGCAAACAGAAACTTGTCCATGAATGTTCACAAACTTGTCCCCCCTCAAGTGCTCTCTCTGGAACAATGTTCACAACAGCACAGTTCACAATAGCCAAAAGGTGGAAATGACCCAATTTCCATCAACTGGTGAATGGATAAACAAGATGTGATATATACATGCATATAATGGAATGTTAGCCATAAAAAGAAATGAAGTATTGATCCCTGCTGTGCCATGGATGAACCCTTAAAACATTAAGTGAAAGAAGCCCGACACAAAAGGTCACGTATGATTCCATTTAGATGAAACATCCAGAACAGATAAACTCATAGAGATGCAACACAGATTGGTGGTTGCCAGGGCTGGGGGAAGGGAGTATGCGGAGTGGCTGTTTACTGGGTCCAGGGCTTCCTGTCTGGGGTGACAGCAATGTTTTGGAACTAGGAAGTGATGACTGCCCAAGATGGCATGTGTATAGACTGCCACTGCATTGTATGCCTTAATTTTATGTACATGAATTCTACCTCAATTTTTTTAAAAAACTGTAATGCAAAAAGGTCAGAAATATGAGTAATCATGGTCTCTCAGACCCTTTTCTCCCTTCATCCATTCAGCCTACTATTAACTACATTTCCTAAAATGCCTTTTCATCAGGCCCTCCTCTCTGCCATATACTTCCAATGTCTCCCCACTTCCTGTTTCATGAGAACCTCTAACACTGTGAGATCTTAGTTTCTCCAACTCTACCTTGAAAACTACCAAGCTGAGGATGGGGCTAATTAAAAGCAACAAGCAATGCCCGGAAGCCCAGGAGTAAACCCTGAGTTCTCTGTTTGAGAATGCACTCAGTTTTATTGAGGATGTCTACCGTTGGAGGCACTGCAGTGACAAAGGTGAAAAAATACAATTTCTGACCTCAGGGAACACCCACTAGAGCCACAGGAAAATAATTTTACACAGAAAGACAGTGAATATAAAAAAAATTATGGAAGTTGGGTAATAAACAAGGGCCCAGTGTTGTTATGGGGGCACCAAGAAAGGGAACTTAAGGTGCACCTGTGGGGTAGGGAGACTGTGGATCAGGGAAAGTAGTTTCCTAGAGGAGGCAAGTCCTTTCTTGATGGATGAGAAGGAATTCACAGACAAAAAGAGGAAAGGGCCTGTGGGCACATAAAAGGAGGCAGCAGATGTCATGCCATGGTCGGTGGCTGTGCAGTGCCAGGAGAGGCTGCCTGGTCAAGGCCAAGGAGGCTCAAGGTCAAGGAGGCTGTGAGTGTCTGAGGTTCAGTCTCATCTCACCCCATCACAAATAATGGATGTATGTCCTTTTCTTCTAGGTAGGCTGGGATCAGACAGGTTCCCTGTGACCACCAAGAGAATGGTTGTCAGCTCTGCCTATGTATCTTTCCAGCAGGGCTGGAACCACATGGGAAGGTAAGGTCTGATTTTAAAACTTACCTTGAATTACCATTCTCATTTCAACAATTTTGTTTAAGGTCTCCTCACGTTCTATCAGGGTCCTTCAAAGCCCCCCTCAAGTGCGCTCTCTGGAACAAGTACAGCCCATACAGACAAAGCTGGCCTGGCCTGTGATCTCCTTCCCCCAGCCTGGGGATAAACTGCTGTACAGTTTCTCCCCAGCTATATTCTAGTTTGCTTAAATACAGAGACCATGTCGTTTTTCCCCTTTTTTTTCTTTTTTGAAGGGAGCAGGGCCTGGTCCACTAGACCAGTACAGGGTACAGTGTAACATGTAAGTATTTCAGAAGTTACACTTTAAGCAAATGGGATCAGAAACTATTATACATAAATAGAAAGTTATCCAACTAGCAATTTTTGCATTTCACCAGAAAGCAATTGATGAAGTCTGGAGCCTTCCCATTCTCATGCTGGGGGTAAATAGGTCATAATATAAATTAGATCCAAATTCTTTGCTATTTCACCATTATAAATTACTACTCATTCTAGGTGAGTGTCTATTTACAAGGGCATATAACAAAAATATCTAGCAGGGTCATGAAGACATCGTTCTCCTGAGGAGAAGCAACAGATATGTTTCCACTGACAGATATGGTGCCAGTGAGCACCTGCAAATCCTGTGGGAGGAGATGATTCAACACAGCAGTTTTCACTACATTTTTGGGATCTTCTTCTGTAGCTAGTACTGATTTATTTATTTTATTTTATTTATTTATTTATTTATTATTATTTTTTTTTTTTGAGATGGAATCTTGCTCTGTCACCCAGGCTAGAGTGCAGTGGTGTGATCTCAGCTCACTGCAATCTCCACAGGCCTGGTTCAAGCAATTCTCCTGACTCAGCCTCCCGAGCAGCCGTGATTACAGGTGCCTATCACCACACACAGCTAATTTTTGTATATTTTTAGTTGAGATGGGGTTTTGCCATGTTGGCCAGGCTGGTCTTGAACTCCTGACCTCAAGTGATCCGCCCTCCTCAGCCTCCCAAAGTGCTAGGATTACAGGCATCAGCCAGTACACCAGATACCAGTACTGATTTATGACATCAATGTAAACACCTTCTTATCACCTCATATTCTTAAGCAGCACATGAGTTATATCCTGTGTTACCAAGACAAAAAGAAGAATATTCATTGAACAGTGATAAATGGATCAGAAAACAAATACCAAGGTGTTAAGGGAGAGAACCATTTGATTTAATGGTGTAAAAGAAGTCAATCATTCAGGTGATGGAAGTAACTGAGAACACATCTATACTTCTACATGTTCTTGAAGGAGGGGGAGGGAAAAATGAATAAAACAACAGATTTTAGGTAGCTGCCTCAGATTAATTACCTGTTAACACTGTCATTTGCTAGCTGGAGTCCACGGTCTATTTGCAACACTGTTTTATAATCCACATAAGCTTTCCCATACTGCTCTAGAGTTTCATAGGCCATTGCCCGCCGCAGAAGAGGTTTCATTGAGAATGGATGAAGTTCCAGAGCCCTTAAGAAGACAAAAATATCACATACCATTTGTTTTGAAAAATGCTCTTTAGTTTATACTTCACTGAATAGATACTGCAGTACTGAACTCACGACTTGGGGACCAGGCAACATGCCAGAAAGGCAAACGCAGAGTAACAGAGCAATCAAATTTGTGTTCCCCTCTTTTAAGCCAGTATCAAAGCACATGCATTGACTCTTTCTCACTGAGCCGTGGGCTCCCTGGCAGCATTCCCCAGCCTCCCCAGTGCCCTAACAGAGCAGCATGGCTGGAGGCACAGAGCAGGGTTTCAACAGATTAAAAAGAAAATTCTTATTTGCAACTATGCATTTAATAATAAAGTACAGAACCATAAAAGTTGCATCACATTTTGAAAACTGGCATTCTAAAACTTACTACAGTTTATGATTCACTTGTTGCAAAAGGGCTTCAAAAACAGACCAAAAGAGGATCAAGGAACTAAACATACAATGATTACTTCTACGTCATGAATTTTCATCTTGCACGTTTTAGTCTATGAAGTGTTTCCAATATCACTAAAGATGTATCTCATGGTTGCGTTTTTTGGTTTTGTTTGAAGTAAGTGTTTAAAGCTACTTCAGCATTTAACGTACTTCATTATATTCTCAAGTAAAACAATAAAAAAAAACTGTACATATAATCCTCAATTTACAATATGGTTATGTCCCAATAATCCCAGTGTAAACTGAAAATATGTTAAGTCCAAAGTCAGCCCAGAATCTTTGGTTAAAGAATTACCAATGCTTCAAGACTGAAACCTTGTGGTTGTGTATCCCTTTCAAACCATAGTAAAGTCAAAAAGCCAGAAGTTAACCACTGTAGTTAAGGACCATCTGTATTTAAGAATGAACACTATAGTAGTCTTGGTTTTAACAAAATCAACAGAAGCTGCAAAGAAGTCCTCCATGCAGAGATCCTGTGAAGACCACTACCATCTGCACCAGACTGTAAACATTGAAGATTGTGGAATTATTCTTTCAACTCATGCTACAAGCAGTTAATATATCAAATATTTAACTTTCTGGAAGAGCATGAGCGAGGGCTGCTTTCTTTAACTTGTTTTTTGGTTTTTTTTTTCCCAATAGTCTTAGAAATCTGCTATCTATTCCTGTCGACAATGATTTGGCAATGAGGAAAACCTGACAGAGTATCTGCTATGTGCTAGTCACTGCAGACTTCCCCATCTAATCTCACAACAAACCTGTAAGGTAAATACTAGCATGTTCATTATGTGGGTGAAGAAACTGAGACATGAGGGGTAATGGTCCTACAGGTCAGTTCTTTTGAATGTGAGCTTCGTGAAGGCCAAGGGCACTGCCTGTCCTGAGCACCACTATATTCCCAGTCCTAGATCAACGCCTGGGTCATGAGAGGCACTTGGCAAACTTCTCTGTGAGCCCTCAGAGCCTACGCTCTGCCTACCACAACACACACAGAAACAGTGCAAACGAAGGAACTCTGAGTCATCTGCCACTCAGACCACTCCCACATCATACAGATACTCAGCTGCACTTGTGGGAGCCCTTCTGGCGTATCATAGAAGTTATTCTAGAAAAGCTGTTAAACCTAATCCACTTCACTTCTCTGAAAAAATAACCAATTTCACTATGCCTAGGTGTTAAGATTGTGAGTGATTTTAATGATCATCTTTGTGCTGTCCCAGTTTTTTCTTAAGTTTTCTATAATAGGTTTTTTTTTTTAACAGTAAATGTTATTTAAAACATAAAACTAAAATCAAGTAAAAATATTTAAACACTAGACAGTAGCTCCGTGGGCATCAGGATCTGTCACCTGTACCACTGCCTTAAATTTAGCTTAGTTTATTGTTTAGGTAATATTGACTCTATGAGCAGAGAGAGTCACAACTATGTGACAACCTTCACTTCACAGATGACTTCCAATGACCAAGGTGCCATTTATCTATTCAAGATGGCCTTAAGCCAAGCTTGGGATCTAAACTTGATGAGATGATGTATTTAATTTTTAGCACTTTCTAGCCCAGTGAATGCAAGATTTTTTTTTCTTTAACCACAATCCTGAAAATGAATATGAATTTATGAATGAAAATTCCATTAAGGAAAAAACTACCTATGCATAAAAATAAGCACAGAGAACTTTTGAAGCAGAGCTTACAAAAGCGGCTGTCTATTCAAATTAACACAGTTAAAACCCTAAAGAATCTTCCTATTTCAAGTCTGTGAGAGAGTAGCAAAGGAAAAGCAGAGAACTGGCCACTCAGGCTCAAGCCTGTAATCCCAGCACTTTGGGAGGCTGGCAGACCACTTGAGGCCAGGAGTTTAAGACCAGCCTGGCCAACATGGCAAAACTCTGTTTCTACTAAAAAAATGCAAAATATTAGCTGGGTGAGGTGATGCACACCTGTAATCCCAGCTACTTGGGAGGCAGAGGTACAGGAATCACTTGAACCCAGGAGGCAGAGGCTGCAGTGAGCTGAGATCATGCCATTGCACTCCAACCTGAGTGATAGAGCCAGACTGTCTCAAAGAAAAAAAAAAAAAAGGCAGAGAATTACTAGGCAACATTCATTTGTTGTATTTTGTCTGTTGAAACATCCTCAATGGAAAGTCACCAAAAGATGTTTGGTGTGGGTTAGATAAACCAAAACAGTTCTGATAGATAAGAAAAGTGAAGTTTTTTTTAGTTTATAAACAATTAGGAGAATTTTAAAAGTTGTAAAATGATGGCTTTCAAACTTAAGCATCATAACCCCTTCTCATGCTTCTCCTGGAGATCTAGAAGACAGCCATGGAGATGCTGCAGTGAGGGGAGAGGCTGGGCGTAGAGATCTTCAAGCTCTTCAAATCTCCCCCCACCCCACCCCATAATCCCAATGGCCACTCTCCAAACACACGCCTGGAAAACAACCAAGGCTCCTCAGGAGTAAAACATTTAAAATCAAATGGTAGTTTTTCCCAAAATATATCTAAAAATTATTTTCATAGGTTAGATTTTTCCCTTTATTTTAATTTTTTTTTTTTTTTTAACAGTGTTTGACTCCTGATACCACTTATCTGTTAATAAGAACTTGTGGGCCGGGTGCAGTGGCTCACACCTGTAATCCCAGCACTTTGGGAGCCCAACGTAGGTGGATCACTTGAGGTCAGGAGTTCAAGACCATCCTGGGCAACACGGTGAAAACCCTTCTCTACAAAAAATATAAAAAATTAGCTGGGCGTGCCTGTAAGCCCAGCTACTGGGGAGGCTGAGGCAGGAGAATCACTTGAACCCAGGAGGCAGAGGTTGCAGTGAGCCGAGATCGTGCCATTGCACTCCAGCCTGGGGACAGAGCAAGACTCAGGCTCAAATAAAAATAATAATAATAATAATAATAATAAAAAGGAACTCATGGAACTTTCCAAAGATAATTAACTGAAAACCTAAAAAACTTAACTCCTTTTAATATGTATGCAATCTGTTTGAGGTAAAGTGAAAATATAGTTACTTGAGCTGAAAAGATGTTCACAGTAGCACAGTGTGGCTTCTCTGGCTATAAAACAAGATTGAGAATCACTGCTTTAGAGTAAAGTCACCCCCTGCTGGGCCTCATCTCCATTTCTCTTACACTGGGACTGGTAGGCCAGCTATCAAAGAAAACATCTGAGTAGGTCAGTCTCTAAGGAGTCAGCACCAACCAGCAGAGCCAGATTCCTTGCCTAAAAAACAGCTCTTACATTAGCACAACCTACCTAAAGCCATACTCACTTCCCTCTCAGTCAGGCCATCTCCTGCCCTCCCCCAGGACAAGCCCTCACTCTAGCCTCCCTGGCTGGAGTCCCACCCTTGACTTTCTCCTGGGTCTACAATGAAACACAGCAAATTTTAGCCAGTAAATGTTCATCACCTTAGAGGATCTCATGTAAGACAACGCAAACCACTCTTTTGCAGCAGCTCTAACGTTAGGGTTCTCAAGTTTTAACTAAAGTGTCCTGACCTCCCTCACCGTGGAAAGGCCTAAAACAAGTCTGAAGGGTAATGTATTAGAAACAGACACTTGAGTTGTAAGGATGTTGGCTGCAAATCACAACCAGCTTGGTATCCAACAACTTCACATGGTCTTGTCTGTTAAGAGCACTAGTAAAAGTCCTTAACAACTGGCTCTCTGGGTAAAGAAAAAGTGTTGGGGGGAAGCCCAGATTTGTGGCATTTGTTTCTTTGATAGTATTAAATGGTATCCCACCATAACAGATTTCAAAATATCAACTTGACATCAACCAGCTCACAAATCCTGAAAAATGTAATGATTAGCGAGTGTGGTGAGCCAGCACAACTGAGGATGCGGTCTGATGTCAGGCCAAAGAGAATATAAGTATTATTCATCTCAAATTTAAATATGTAAAACTGGCCAAAAATCCAAGTGCCTCAACGCCTTCTTTTTAAACTTAGGAACAGATACTAACAAGCTTTACCCATATCAATAAACTGATACTGCCATGAAAACAATAACAAATTACTCACCTTATAAATGGAGTGTCCACATAATTTACTGTCCAAACTAGAGTTTCTGAGGATGTTATATGAAATAACAGAAGTAAACCAGGGCTGTGTCAGTCAAAGTAGGACATGCCTTCTTATTTTTTTACATGTACTAATAGTAGCTTCTTGCCAAAGTGCTTCTTATTACTTAATGGTGAGAAACAATGTTTTATTTATGTAGATATTTACCATCCAGGCAGATAACTCATTGAGTACCATGGGTGACTACTATGCTTCGATGGGGTACAAAGCTGTATAAGACATGGTTCCTCAGAGGATACCAGAGGTTGGGAAGGATGGGGGAAGGGGGTGGGGGCGATACAGGCAGAGATGTGTTAAAGGATATAAAACTACAGCTAGCTACCTAGAAGGCACATGTTCTAGTATTCTATAGCACTGTAGGATTACTATAGTTAACAATGATACATAGTTTCAAATATATATATACATATATATATTTGAGACAGAGTCTCTTGTCTGTCGCCCAGACTGGAGTGCAGTGGTGGGATCTCGGCTCGCTGCAACCTCTGCCTCCCAGGTTCAAGTGATTCTCCCACCTCAGCCTCCCAAGTAGCTGGGATTATAGACGTGTGCCACCGTGCCCGGCTAATTTTTGTATTTTTAGTAGAGATGGGGTTTCACCATGTTGACCAGGCTGGTCTCAAACTGACCTCAAGCAGTCCGCCCACCTTGGCCTCCCAAAGTGCTGGGATTACAGGCATGAAGCACTGTGTCTGGATCATACATATTGAAGCATCACTCAGTACCCCATAAATATGTACAGTGATTATTTATATATTATAAAAAGGAAAAGACATGGTTCCTGACCTCAGTGTGTTTAAACCCCCTTCAGTGGATAACAGAACTTAGAGGTGTGACCAGGTGTCCGTGTAGGTGTTACAGACCTGCAGATGACCGGGAAGTCTGGGGCACCCAAGGAGGTAAACAAAGGGGGAAGCTGAGCAGGAACTTCAGAAGCCAAGATGTACAAAGGGTATTACCACCATTGGGGGCAACATGGGCAAGGGCTCAGAGAACAGGGTGGGCAAGAGTAAGCAAGAGGTCCAGTAGACCAGATGGAAGCAGAAACTTGCTTGGGGGCAGTGTGGTGACAGAGAAGTCTGCAGTTATTTCAAAGCCAATACTGAGCCATTAAAGGCCTGTATGAAACAATCTGAACAAAATAACGTTTCAGGAAAGCTATTCTGATGCCACAGTGAATTGGAACTAGTTATTAGGCTTCTCCAGTAGTCTAGGAGTGATACAGAAAGAGCATGAATTAGAGCGGTAGCAGTGGAAATGAAAAAAGTTTGCATAATCTTCTATAACCCTATTCATATACGTGAGATAATTTATGATTTGTATGCATCAATCAATTAACATACCATAAGCTCTTAAGAAATTAGACCCTTAGGCAGAAAATGTAGGATCTTGGATATTGCATTCACCACAATGAAATTATAACAATCTCTTGACAAACCTGAAAACGTGCAGTTTACCTGTTACAATCTTGAATGCAGCCACTGCAGTTTCCTTCTTTTAGGTAACATGCTGCTCTATTTGAATATAAGATACTTAGATCATCTGCACTTTCACTTCCTAAAATCACATTTAATTAAATACAGTTAAAATCCATTAGCAAGATCACAGTTCACCAGAATTAAAAGACGCCCGAGGTCTCCGGTGGCACTGCAGTCCTGCAGACTGATCATGCAGAGCTCCACGGAGCTGCTACCCACAATAGCCACCAAGGGAAAGCCCGGCGGGA